GCCAATGTCTTCCCTGGTGATGAAGGAGTTGGTAACAATGCTTGTCAGATCTAGCTCTCAGGAGAGCAGGACTATTATCACATGGGCCCATAAGGTTGGTAGGAAGAGTCAGGACCAGGACTTTCAACAGAAAGCAAAAGACTGTGTAGTGAATGGCTCAGCACGGCGCTTAACAATCTGTAGTGTGTTTTCATGTGCACTGTTTCAGGCAGTTCTTATGCTTGTTCTCTAAGTTATGGTTCCTTGTAAATAGGAACCTGAAGACATTTGATTCTCCCACAGCCAAATAGCTAGAAAGTAGTAGGATCTGGCAGGAAATCCAGGTGCCTTGACTTCCTTTCCTACTCTTCCAGACACCTCAGCCGCCTTCTTTACACCTCAAGATGTTTCCGGGTGAGGCTTAAAGGGATAAATGGGCATTTTCAGAAATTTCTCCTGCTAGTGTTGCTCTCCTAACAGAAAAAAAGATAAAGCCAACTACCATTATTTGTAACTATAGTCCAACTTTAGGAAGACCAGAGAAAGTAAGTGGGGATTTAAAGTTCAATATTTTATACCTTCATTTTCTCGATGATATACTGGGGAAATCCTATTTTGTAGCATTATTGTATTGCAAATAATATATTAAAGCATTTAGAATCTTGTCTAACACACGGGGAGGTGCTTAATAAAGATTTCTTTTGGACAGGCTTTCTAAATTGTTTTCTAAAGTACAAATTATAAATGTGGAATGATACTGGGTCCTCCTAACAAAAGTAATAGATATAAATTTAATAGCCATAACATGATATTAAAAATAGCTGACAAAAATAAGACAAGCCTGTCTTCTCTTCTAAAAATCTGTTGTAATGTATTCAAAATATGGCCCTCTCCTAAAGAGATTTTCCTCCTACAGTCTTCAAAACTATATAATGAAAGAGTAAGTACAGCTGAAAAAATATACTATAGTGAAGAAGTTTGAAATCTACAGGTTTGTTTAGTATCCTAGCAGCAATTTATCTTTGAACAGATCTCTACAGACCTCATCGTGTGTGGATGATTTCTATATACTTGAATGACCAATTTTTCTGAAATATTATTGTATAATAGATATTAATACTTCAGTTTTTCGAGAAACTGTGATTTACTACTCGACATGTTCCATCAATACTCAGGTGAAATTGCACATTTTTCACTTGTATTGAAAAATAAGGATTCTTGAACCAATTTTTCCTCATTTCTTTTAACCCTTTACCTTATATTTCACTTTCTACTTTTTATCTTGGTTATTTTCAAATGTATTTTTGCATTTACTTTTTAGCTCATGCATCTACAAATTCTCAAACATGTTTTATCCATCTCTTTATCCTGAACTTTGTGTGTAGTAGACATTCATTCAATATTTTATGAATAAGGGATTACTAATTTAATGAAAAGAACAGTAAAGAACAAAATTGAAGCAAACAACTAAAAGTTGTGTGTTTGTGTGTGTGCTAGTAATAGAAGGCCCAAAGCAAAATAGTCAATAATAGGGGAATTTGCTTACTTGTGAAACTAAATGTCTAATTTCAGAGTAGGCTTGGAACATGAACTGACAGAAGCAACTGTGATGCCATTAAAGTTGTTCCTCCTTTTTCAGTGATTTCCCAGTCTCTTTCTATTAGTTGATTTTATCCTCAGGATGGTTTCTGCAGCAAAACAGTTAACCAGATGACCATTTAAGCTTAATAGAGCTAGATCCTTCCTCTTTCACAGCAGAGCTGAGGAGGGGATGTCACTTACCAATCACAAAATTCTAGATCCTCAAACTGAAGTCCATGTCCATTATGAACCAATCCATGCTTAGTAGGAATGTGTGTGGTGATAGATGTGATCCTAAGCTAAGATTATACCCAGGAGAACTGGAAACCACTAGAGGTCAGATTGGATTCACTTCCAACAAGCCAAGAGAAAAGCTATACAATCTGATGAAGTATTAAGAAGAAGGCTGATTGGTAGAATGAATTTGGAAGAGCTGCAACTTGTAGAGCTGATTGGTCAGAGGTTTGAATGTCCGATATTCTAAAAATAAGGTTGAAATGGCCCAATGTTAGACTGAGAGACAAATGAAATGTGCTAAAACACAACTGCACATAACTCAAAACACAATTTTCCTCATACACTTTTTCACACGGGTGCTCTCTGAATAAAAAATAAGTGATTCTTTTTTCCTCTTATGATGCCTAATAGTTCATTTTAGCCTTTTAATTTAGTAAAAATGATCTAAAGATTGATTATGAAAATATGAGAGTTTATAAAACTTCAAAGTAATTCTATCACATCTAACATTTATTTCCTTTCTTCTTGACATTAAAACATACAAACAAAACAACCCCCAAGCATTCTAATTTAGAATGATATATCTTAGACTTGGTATAGGTATTATGTGATATTTATGATCCTTATGAATTTATTTGGCTTTCACAAGAGGTGAAATCACACCCTTATTCAGCTTTGTTCTTTGTTTAGTCATGAAATAGCTAAGTGATTACATATAAGGGCAATTCTAATCCTTAATTGCCAAGCTAATAAAGTAGAACTTGTCATCCTATATCTTTAGAACTATTTCCTAGCCTCAGACAATTATAAGGCACTCTAAGACACTTGACCAAACCCTCCAGCCGTGCCTAGGATGTCCCCACCTGCACTGGTCTTGCTTGTTTGGCAACCACATAACCAAAGCACACTGGATTCCCCTCCACAGCTCTTTCACATCCCCTGTCCTACTTCTTCCCAAAAGAACCTTCGGCCTTCAGCTCCAACAGTACACGAGTACCCAATACATTACTAAAAAATGATAACAAAAACAAAAACGTTACCTGCAGGATTAAAAATGTTCATTGTTTTCATTTATTATGCTAATAATGCTGTATTAATAAAAAATAAATAGTTCTGTAAAATATCTAAGCTTCCCTATCCAAAATGCTTGTAAAAGATAATGGAGAAAATGAAAATGACTCTAGTAGTTTTTTTTAAGATATCTTAATGATATTTAATAAAGATTTATGGTCATTTTGGAAGAAATGAGTCCACCCAACTGTAATTAGAAGGGCAGGATTTTCTACTTTCCCTTCCAGCTCTCGGTACTCAAGAGAGAAATTTTTTTCCCTGTTGTTGCTCAAAGAATGGGTGGGACTTCAGGGTACCATCCTGGCGGGCCGTTAATGCTGTCCTCAGCATCGCACTTCAGGGGCTCAAGACCCACCTTCATCAGGGAGAATTTAACGAAGCCCAGAGTCCATTACTACAATTACTTTCCGCACTGGGTTTTCCACAGAGGAAGTTTAGTTTGGTAAACAATGATGACAATGTATGTTAAATAATATATCGTTTCTCTCTCCAGCCCAGGAAGTGTTTCTCCCTTCTCCTCTTCCCCATCCACCTCACAGGTTTTAAATAAATATAAATATATAGGCCAGGGATTTAGCTCAGTGGTTCTGTTGCCTGCCTCGCAAGCACAAGGTCCCAAGTTCGATCTCTGGTACCAAATATATATATATATGTATATATATATAACCGCGTGTAAGGGTGGGAGAGAGAGAGAGGGAGAGAGAGAGATATGACAGACAGATAGACAACAGAGGTGGATAGGGTATGATTTTTTAAACTGATATCCCAAAATACTTTCCACTGGAACTTATTTTAATAGGCACATTCACATACATACCATTTTTCCAAGATGGAAATGTCTTTAGACTTTCAGTCTAAAGAAATCCAATTAACTCAGAATGAAATTGTCTTCCATCTTTAGCCTCACCGGTGTGCACACATGTGAAAGATTGCCATGGAGAATTTGTGCTGTCAAATGAGGACTGACACTGATTACGTCTTAAGGATTGTGAAAATAAAAACGAAATACTCCAATTCTCAATAATTCTAAGTTATTTTAATCTAAATTTCAGAAATATCAAAACAAGTTGTTTTCAATTTTTACATTTTAAAGAATATTTACTTAGCAAAAGAAGACATTCTACTGGGCCTCAGAATATCTAGATTTTTTATATTTAAAGAAGCTGATTGCTTTTGGGATGAATTGTTTTTGAGCATCCCAATTTTGAAATTTTAAAGAGATTGAAAGAAAATGCACTTGTGTTGAATAAGCACTGCTCTGAACACACAGCTTTTAAACACATATAGTTGAAAGCTAGTTTTTAATCCTATATTGTCTAGCATTTCCTGTGAACATGGCAAGAACTTCAGCCAAATCCACTTTAACTTTTATTTTATTCTGGTAAATAAGTGTATATGCATAAACTTTCACACACACCATACAAAAACATACTGACAGAAAAATTTTGATGTATTTACCATTTAAAAATAAACCGGATCTCCCTAGAGAGATAAACTAGTCTCCAATTCTGAACTTTCTGAAAACCAAGCAAAGGTAATGGAATCCTAGCGGGGGTCTGGACATTTTTTTAGTAATACATCAAATAAAATTATTAATCTGATTCCAAATCTAAGTACAAGAACCCTCATCCCTTTATAATGAGAAACAAATTTTCTCTGCTTTGTGTTTATGTTAATCTGTAATTTGAGTACACTCTATTGGTTGCCAGAAAGAACTTAAATGTGTTCCCTGCCAAAAAATGTGATAGCTTTTAGGTTTGGGCCAAATGAGAAATAGTTTAAAATGATATTGGATGCTGGTAAAAATGAGACAGCATTTGAAAACACACACACACACACACACACACACACACACACAAAAGGAACATCTGGAAACCAAATTCCCATCTTATAAAGTCAAGAAGGAGATGAATATTTTTAAAAATCATATTACACAATAATATGAAAATAATAAAATTTAATTTTGCTTTTGTTTTGGCTTAGCATTTTTGGTTTCTTATCACTTACCCATATTACTCACTAGAATCTCATTGTTTACATCTCTCATCCAATCCAATGAGAATTCTGCTCAAATATGTTTCCACTTTACTTTTTTACTTGCTGGCAGTTATTGTATTTTATCTCATTTCCAGATGTCCACAAGCATGGAAAGGAAATAGATGCCACATCAAGTTCAACCCTACTACTTCCGATTTTATGTACGCTCCGAATAGTAAGTGACATGCCTAAGCGAATTGCTTGGTTTGTGGTCATTAATATATTTTACTGCATATTTATCTTTTCAACTGGTTTGGAATTACAGACATATGGATCCTTCTGGGTATTGGATTTGCATTCCTGATGACTCATATTACAATAGCCATTTTGTGTTTCCTCGCAAACAGAAAAGTATCAGTAAGGTAAGCAACGTCTTAATTATTGAAAGACACATACATGGCAGAACAACATTCTGAAATATTTCACTTGCTCTATTTTCTTTCTCTATATATTGTATGCATGAAATTTTCATGTTTCCATAGTTTATTTTTTATTGTTTGTTTTGGGGGGGCAGAATCTGGAGCTACCTAACAATAATGACTCTTAATTTGTTAGGGAAAAAGAATTAAGTTTACTTTTCAGATCATTATTAGGGACTTTTGAGGCATAACAAAAATAGAGAAGACTCAGAGGCTGATGCATCCCATCCTGGCGGTGCCCAAGGAAGGCAGAAAAACTCCTTACTTGGCTCATAAGGAGCCTGTCCTCTCCTTATGAAGGAAACACTCACATCCTAAGCAAAGCCCAAGCAAAGGCCCAGAGCTGCTGTGTGGGAAGGAACTCTCCAGACTGGGTTTAAGCATAACCGAGAGCCCCTTAGGATCCCTACAGACAGCTCTCTAGGATCTGAAGTGCCCTGCCTGTCACCCGTTTTCTTTTCACCAGTATGGTTTACAGTTCACCCCGATCATGAAAGAGATTGATTTTTCCACACTTGGCAAGATAAGGGCCTACAAAGCTGCATGAATTTTTAAGAAATTACAGAACTACATCCTCTCCTGCACACCTGAATTTGTAGTCAGAGATACAGACTATCGTCAACATGGAAATGTCACTCAGCAGTCAGTGCATAACACACCATCTTTCCTATGTCGACTCATATGTCCTGCCTGATGAATTCCTCTTAGATCGCCAGCCTGCCGTGATCTTAATTAACAGGCACCCATCTTGATTTCATGAACTGGGGCAAAGTTAGTATGCAGCTACAATGTTCATTACCAAAAAGATATGACAGTTTTAATCTCTTCCCATTAAGATCTTATCCATGTATTATTTAATTTTTATTTTCCCAAATACACCAGGCAATGTGAAGCTTAAATGTCATCTGATTTCTCTTATATTAAAAACTCATGTTTCTATCAGGTATATATAAAGATAAATAGAAAGTAGGGAGATCTTTCTTCACATGAGCAGGAGAGAACAGGAGGTTGAGGGGGAAGAGAGGCAGGGAGGGAACGGGGATGGAAAAGAAAGAATTAAGGGGAAAATTATGAAAACAGAGCTTTTGAAAATAGGAAGGGAACCAAGAATGGGGAGGAGCAGGGAGAGAGGGGTGAGGAGGGATTAAAAAAACAGAAGAATTGAGGTGTATTATGTACACGCACCATTTTCCCACAGTAACCATAAACATTACGCACTGACAACATGTACAAATGAGAGAACATGAATGAGCGGCAGTCTGAGCTGAAAGGAGTTTTTTAGTCTAGTGGAAGAAACATGCGTGATCCCCTAGGTGAGATATTAGTTGTACTATTTGCATGCTGGAATACACATATATATTAGTTGGGATTCTCCAGGAAAAACACTATAAGATATACATATACACAGTCTCCAAAGAGAGAGAGACAGTGAGAGAAAGAGATCAATTTGTGTTTTAAGGAATTGTCTCATGCAGTTGTGAGACTAGCAAGCTTGAAACCTGTAAGACCTGCTGACAGGCTGGAAATTCAAGTAAGAGTTGGTGGTAAGCCCTGAAACCAAATCTGCAGGCCAAGCCAACTGGATGGAAACTTTAGCAGGGTTTTTATGTTGCTGCTTAAAGCAGATTTTTTTTTTCTTTTCCAGGAAATTTCAGTCTTTGCTCTTGAGACCTACCCACATTATGGGTGAATAAAAAAGCAGGTTTCTTTACTTGAACATTTACAATCAGTTGACTTTAAGCAAAGCAAAGTATTGTAAATGTTCATCACAAAAAAAAAAAAAATTCCTTCACAGATACATCTAGAGCAGTGTTTGACAGAACAACTGGGCGGGGCACCATAGTTTAAACTGCCACATCAAGTTAATCCTCACAATACATAAACCCGTTGTCACATTAATGCAAGCAGTCAGAGGACACAGGAGTCTTAAATTCCAGACCTTGTCCATGTTCCCATTGGGCAGCCTGCGCCTCAGGCAGACGTGGGTGCCACTGAGTCACAGCCCGAAAGAGCCACCTGTCCTTCTCCTTTCCGTGATTGAGATGTACCTGTTCCTTTCTTTACTCTTCGTGTCCTTTCTTGGTCAAGTTCTATTTCTCTTTTCTCTTTCCATATTTGCTTATTCATTTTGTCGTAGTTTTCCGTCTCCCTCCCTGCCTGTACTTTGCTCCTTCTTACCATCACTTATTGATATGCCCCTGGGTTTCCTCCTACCCACCTCCCTTCCATGGGAATATGTGCATATCTTCCATAGAAGGTGTCCTTCAGTTCCAATGTTTCCGATGCTGTTGTCAGTATGTTAATGGTTTCAGCTCTCTTGTACTGAATTTCTATTCTAAACTCCAAATCCATACCGAGTTGTCAACCATTTATTAGGCTCCTCCAGATGAATTTTTTCCAGATACTTTGACTTTACTATATTGGATATTAGTGCCTATCATTTCTGTTTCCATGAGCCTAACTCTTTATGATCCCAGGATAAAGGGTAAACTCATTTTCTGAAATGAAAAGCTTAGTTTTTATTGTCCTACCAGTACAAACCACAGTTCTAATCTGAAAATAACAACCTCCCTCATGCAAGGGTCACAAGGAATTGAGTGAAGTTGGCTGTGCCCCTCAAATAAAGTCAAAATGGATCAAAGATCTAAATATTACAAGAGAAACATGAAATCTGCTGGAAGAGAAAATAGGTGGGAACTCTTGAGGACATAGGAGCAACGACTTCATGAACAAAACCCAAACTTCACAGGAAATAGTGCAAAGAATCAACAACTGGGATCTCATCCTATTAAAAAGTTTTTACAGGACAAAAGAAATCACCAGTAGACTGAAGAGACAACCCACAGAGTGGGGAAATATTTTATCCAGTAGTTCCTAAGATAAATGACTAATATCTGAACCATACAAAGAATTGAAAAAAATCAGACCCCCCAAATTTAAATACTCAATCCAAAAATGGGCATCTGAAATGAATACACTCTTCTCAGATGAAGTAGAAAAGCCTCATAAGTATGTGAAAAAATGTTCAACATCACAGATCATCCGAGAAATGCAAATTAAAACAAGTCTGAGATTCCATCTCACTCCAGAAAGAATGGCTGTCATGAAGAAATCAACCAATAACAAATGCTGGCAAGGCTGTGGGGTCTAAAGGAGCAGGGGAAGTGGGAGGGGCAGGGGAAAGGAAAGAAGGGAAAAGAAAAAATATGAGAAAAGGAAAAAATGGAAACAAAGTCTGTGTAAATAGGGAGGAGTGGAGGGAGTGAAGGGAGGGCAGAGAATGGGGAAAAAATAAGAACCAAGATATATCATATAAAGATACAAGATCCCAATGATCAATGTAACTATTTTATACCTAAAATGTACCAATAAACTTAATAAAAAAGTAAAAATTAGGATTAAATTTCCCATTTGACCAGCTATTCTTCTGCTGGGTATCTTCCCAAAAGAATTAAAAGCATCATACCACAATGATATATGTGTACCTACTTTTATAGTGACACAGTTTGTAATAGCTAAATTTTGGAAACAACCCAATGCCCATCAACCGATGAATGGATAAAAAAGATTTTTTTATATAATGGAGTTCTACTCAGCCATAAAGGAAGATAAACTTGAGACATTTATAGCTAAATGGATACAACTTGAGCTATACTCTTAAGTGAAATAAATCAGACACATGTAAATATTGCCTTGTGTCTCTGGTGTGAGAAACTGAATGGGTAAGTAAGGACCAAAATGAATAATAGATTATATGAAATCAGAAGAAAATGTTCAAAAAGAAAGGGAAACTGTGAAAGAGGGAAGGGGATAAAAGGAGGGAAAGGTGACAAAAAAGAGAAAAGAAGGAAAAAATGGAATCATTGGAGGGAGGGCAGGCGAGGGGGAGAAAAAGGAGGAATCAAAGTATACCATGTACAGGTACACACTCCCTCTTATGAATGTGATCATTATGTATATTTAAATTGTATGAATAAAATTAATTTTTAAAACAAAAAAGGGTTTAAAATACCATGCATATTAATGACCCACCACAGATTCCCAGTAATTAGAGTAAGACACAACCTCACCCTGCAGGCTTACTAAGGGAAGCAGAATCTACTACATTAACAGTGTTCTCAGGAGAGAACTGGAAATTAAGAGTATGCAGGATTCTTGAAGTCTTTGTCCTTGGAGTAGGGCAGTGTTTGCGCTAAGAACTTTTTACCTCTTTCCCAGAGGAAGAAATGGTGGAAGGGAGGAAGATACTACTACCAGCACTATACAAAACACAATAATGGAAGGGATCCAAGAGAATTAATAATAAATAAATGAAAATTAAATTAATTAATAATAAAATTGGTGATACCAAGAAAGAAAAAGTAGAAAAATTTGCAAAACAGAATTTGCTTCCAGAGGCTGAAGTAGAAGAGGGTATCAAGAAAACGTTCTTAGAAGGACCTGGGGAAATGGAGAAGACTGGTGAAGGGGAGACCATTCTACAACCCAGTTATACGTGGTCTTCAAAAGGTGGGAAGGAGAACTTGTAGTTTCCTGTGGTCCACTTGAAGAAGCACAAAGAACAGAAATAAAATGGAATTATAGGGTTATCCAGACAACTTCCATTTGGACTGAAAGTAGACCCAGCTGTCTTCCTTTTGAAAGATGTTCAGTAATAGAAGGAACCCAAGTGAACTTCATGCCCATCCAATATGAAATCTATACTATCTTCATGGAGGATACAGCAGAAAGGACATCTACCCCATGCCCCTGTCGGAACTAAAGCAACCTGTTAAACAGTAGAGCCACCTCCCTACATTGACTGGTGGCCAGTTACATAAGGAGAGCCCTGCCTCCACTTCTCTGTGTCTGCACCACAGAACTGAGCCCTGACAAAAAGAGTGGGCTGTTTCAGACCCTCACTATGTCCCTCACGCTCGTCCTTAATACAGCCAAGAGCCTTG